GTGATCAATCTTAGCATCACAAAAGTGAGACAACCAGACGCTGAGTTGACCAAGGTACAGACATTGCTTGACTTACCTGATTCCTCCCTTTCCTCCTCTGTCTCATGGTGATGATGGCTCCTTCAGCAAAAGTTAGTATACTTCCTGGTGATCAGTAGGATGTACAAACATAATACCTCTGAGCAGATAACCAGCACCAAGGCTCTGACCATGAGCAGTTTCCTATAACCTGACTGAACATATTGACACATCAAGAAGAGAAAAAGAGTTAGTCACACATTCACAAAAGGAATGCCATGAAGGCAAATGCTGTACACAACCACACACTGTCCAGAGGCAATTCCCCAGAGTGACAAAGATTGAATTAGCCTATCTTCTCAGGATACAATTGAACACTCACATCACTCAATGAACCAGGAACCTCAAACACCTGCTGATTATTACATGGCTCCAGGTTGAATTTACTTACAGGGAAAAGAACTAGAATGGCTGTTATTCTTCTCATACAAATTAATAAATTAGCATTTTGGCTCCTATGTCCATTATTTGGGAATTTTAGCAGAAGCCCATTGGGACAATGCTGAAGGGCCATCCTGTTTCCAGGCTTGTGATGGAAGCTGAAGTTTCTATTGCAAAACACACAATCTTGCTTTTCCTGCACAGCCTGGGGTGCTGACAAGTTCAAAGAGGACAGGAAATTTGTCTAGCTCACTCTGTCCTCCTAGCTGCTCAGTTAAGATTTGTTGGATGAGTAAGGAATGAACTACCCTGACCTGCCAGGAGAAAGCCAGACCCCAAATGTGTGAAGACAAAAGGCAGCTTTGTGGTATCTTGATAGTAAGCCACCAGCCTTGCAAAAAATCTTTGGAACTTAATCAGGACAAGATGTGAAGTACCAAGAATAATACTGAGCACACGGTAAACGTTCAAGAAAGACAGCTCCTTCCTGCAATGCTCTGATGACCTGTCTCCATGCCATCACCCCACTGTACTGGGATTGATTACTGGTGTCTTCAGTGAAATTCCCCTGTGAGAAACAGACTATGAAAGAGAATTTTCATACAGGAAATGAACTAGGGAATGCTTTCCAGAAAAACACCTGTCTCCTTTATCATTTGGGTCCCAGAGTCATTTGGGCTACTGTTAGCAATGCTCTCTTAAAGCTGTAAATGTTTTAAGAATTTTCAGATCTAAGCTGGAGGTAATAATCACTTGCTTTATTGTTTCAGAAACATTTGCAGGAATTAAAAACAAGCATATCCTCTGGTTATGTATTTTTAAGGTTGATCCACAGCAGGGCCTTAACCATAGCTAATTTGGACTTTTTGAAGCATGTTATTTATCAATGGCTTTAGAATACCATTTAGGAAAAAACAAACTTATTTTTCCCCTTTTTTGCAAAGAAATCCCATAAAAGTAAATGACTTTATAGAACAAAGAATGCATGTGGTACAAGGCAACTAATGTGGCTGAGATCTGGCTAGGAATTGAATCCCAGAAGACTTGGCAAGGAATTGCATTCCCTCAAGAGTAAATCTCAAAGGCGTTCTGGAAAAGCAGTGAGGTGAGGGCCAATTAGTGCTCAGTAAACACATCAGATCATTTTGCTCTCTGCCAATTTCAGGCCCACCTTTTGAGCAGCTGGCATGAGGAAAAAAATAAAGTCCAAACTCCCATAGCAATCCAACATAGAGAATGGATTTAATTTGATTTGGGGAAGAACAGTCTGTGTTTTGTTTTGTTTTGTATCAGAACTTCCAAGAAAATGTGCTGAATCATGAATCCCTCAGGATGAAAGAGTTTGTCAAGAACATGCTTGGGGAAAGGCAAGAGCTGTGAGGGTTGGCGATTATAGAAGGCTTATTATTCTTCTTCTAAATGAAACCCTATAATGCAAAGATTTGTCAACACCTCTGTCAAGGGACACTGGATGCTTCCCTGAGGTACTGAGGAGCCATACTCTTGAGAGTAATGACAGCAAGGATAATAATAACTTTTATTGGACATCTATCACATGTAGCCAACTCTGTGAGTATCTTCTTTAATACCCATGATGTGGCCCTTTGGCCACATGAGGAAACTGACGCTTTGAGAGGCTAATAATATGCTCACAGTCACCGGCCACAGGAACTGAGGATTCCTGTGAAAGCAGGCCATCCGGTTGTGGAATCACAACCTTAATGAGGACATATACTGGGTTCCCAAAGGTTATCTGTGTGCTCACAGATGTCTGATCATTTCAGTTGATTGTGGTTAACTCTTTACTCAGTGAGGGACATTACTAACTGGAATTCTTCTTACAAAGGCCCCACAGTGTGATTAGGAGGAAAAAGTGTATGGCACTGCTAAGGTAAATCGTGTACTTTATGTCCAATATAATACTCTTCTAAGGAACAGAAGTGAGATCTCTTTTTAAAGTAGAGCTCTTCTTCATCCCCTGAACATCCTTCCTATAGAAAATCCTACATTAATTAGTGACAGTTGTCTGAGGTCATGGAACTTCTTTATCAGCACATACCATTAAGTCACTGGTTCTTGGGGATTGTTCCTCATGGGACCTTTAAAAGTGGTGGCTGAGCCTTCTCTCCTGATGCCTTGATTCCCTGGAAAGAATTGGATCACTACCTATCTGGTTCCTCACAAGTGCAAGAGAAAGGCAGGAAAAGTGAGGAGCTGCTGAATCCAAGTCGGGAGGGTCTCCTGACAAACTTTCATACTCCATACTTTTCCCAAACTCAGTCCCAGGCACTTCCAATGTCCAGAAGTAGCTCTTGAGTCACAAAAGAAATATTATACCCTAATCAGTACAATTAGTTTAATTTTGTTTTAGAGCTAATTTGGGGAAATAGACAAGTACTAAATTATTTATCTAATTGACTTCTCTAGTCACTAAAAAATTTGATAGCACTCCTCCCCTGTATGCCCCATTTCTAGTCATATTAGAAATCAAAGGACTCAATTTCTACAATGGAAAACCTCTTCTTCATTTTGCTTTTGGAAATTACTTGTACTTTTGTAGCATGGAGAGCATGTCATTGTGACAATTATATGTTGTGTTATAAAATGAAGGTCGTAATCTGTATCTCACAGGGTTATTTATAGGGATAAACAATGTAAGCTTGGGACATATTGAGAGTTCTAGAAATTATTAAGCTGGATGTGGCATTGCACATCTGTAGTCTCAGCTAATGAAATGAAAGCAGGAGATCATTTGAGATCTTGTCTTGAAAAATAAAGAATTCTATAAATGTTTGGTAAGTTCATTAAGAATCTCAGAGAGAATCTGTCCTCTTTTCCTCAAAACAATTCTGCTTGTCTCATATACTAGCTTTTTGGAAAGCAATGGTGAAAGTAGCTAAGAAAATGAGCTTTTAAATATGCATGCATTCAATCATCAAATTCTGGAGTCTAAATTATATCTAATAAATTATATTTACATTCAAGTGACATGTCACTATGTTTGGGAAGAAAACTGAGAAAAAGCAACCACACTGATGCAAAACAAATGAACAGAAATATTTTATTGTAACTTAAAATTGATTCCCTAGACAATGGATAAAGCACACATTGGGTATTAGCAGCAGACGTGGTAAAAACACACTTGGACAAGTATCAAAGAACATAGAAATGCCATAAATCAAAATTTTTCAGGTTACTGGATAACTTAAGCATAATATTGCCAAAAGATGACTTCCAATACAAAAACATGTAAGCATTTTCTTTTAAATGTCATTTACTTTATTTACTAACTTTGACAGTGACCAAAGAACGAGGTACAGAAAACTTTCCAGATGTCTGAGTATGGAGGAGAAGTCTAAGATGCCTTTGAGCCCCATTGTTGCATTACTGAGCAGGATTAACTCAGTTATGAAATTCTCCCTACTCCAGGTTTGCTGGTAGGAAAGTACTGGTAAGAAAGTACTGGTAGGAAAGTACTGGTTACCTACCTCACAGAGGTGTTGAGAGGGCTCGTGCTAATAAAGTGCTTCAGGTGCCTTCAAAGAAAGGCAACATAGTGTAAAATAATCTTATGTATTTCAAAAGAAATGAAAAGACAATTTTGGCACAATGGGAAGGGTACTACTGCTGGAAGAACACTTGACTATTTATTTTAAAAAACTTGACTACATGTTTATCTTTTTTCATTCAAGAGAATAAATGTTTATCTATTGCCAAATTTGTGTGTATATGTGTGTATGTGTGTGTGTGTGTGTGTGTGTGTGTGCTGGGCATTGAACTCAGGAACTCATATGTTAGCCAAGCGCTCTACCATCGAGACATATTCCAAGACCCTGTATTATTGATCTTATAATAGCCATTCTTAATCCAGGTTATATTATCAGAATCACTTGAGATTGGACATTAAAGGTATCAATTTCCTGTTGACCTTTTTCCTTCCCATACAGACTCAGAGCACACACAAACACACACACAAATGCACGCACCTCTCACTTTTTAGTTCTGCTCTTGAATTAAATTTTGGTAGTGATAAAATCTGACAGTACCACATAAATACTTCATCAGGAAGATAGGCAAGGACTTGTAAACTATGCCCGAAGCAAGTGGATGTTTCCCATTTGCCAGACGGAATGATTGAAAAATGCATTTCCAATTAGGAAATGGGTAAATCAGCACTTCCGGGAACACATCAGCTGAGTGGATCTGACAAACACAAGTGAAGAAAGCTGCTGCATCACCCCTCTGTTGAGAGTTTGCCTTTGTCTCAACAAACACCTTAGGACTTATGCAGCAGCACAAAAACCATGTGGGTGCTTCATTAAGGTAAATAAAACAGAAGAATGAAAACTGATGACTGTAATTTAAAATATCTTTTTATAAAGTGATGGGTTTGCTCCACTGCAAATCTTAATGATGTTTTAACAACCACTCTCATTTCCTGAAATGAAATGGCTTGAAGTCTCCTATTGACTAGCAGGTCTAACACAGAGAAGAAAGTGATTTACTCCCTAGTGGTCTTTACACACAGCCCATCTTGAGGCCCCTCAGGGTGCCTTGCAGTGGCACTAATAGAGTTGGCAGAGAATCTTTACTTCCCTACACAGAAAAGCCTGCTTAGGCTGGTCAAAAGTTTTACAATGTTAAGAACTACTGAAAAACAGTAGAACAGAATAGTCCCACTTCTTGGAAAAAAAGAGGGAAAATATCCAAGGGTAGATGCTATTCATACAGTACATAAAGAATAGGATATGTTTTAAAAAATGTTTTTCATCAGAGGCAACCACAGAGAAATTTTGCTATAAGAAAACAGTCTTGACTCTACAGAACTTGAGATTTTGTTAAAGTATTTTTTGCTATACGGTATAAAACAGCAAAAATAGTGCTTTCCAGTATTCCTCTAAACATTAGAGGCAACTTTGTATAAAAATGTTGTTGGAGTTGGCTTAGGGAGTTGCTTGTTGCATATGTCCCAACACGGAAAGGATGCCAGCAGCAGAACAAAACCTCCCAGCAGGACACAGAAGCCACTAAAATAAAATGCAATGTCATAGGTCTGGGTCCAGTCATAAAACCAACCTGAAAGACAAACAGAAAAAAAAGTGAGTCTCATAGAAATAGTATGAATATAAAGCTCATACCCTAATTTCATCCATTGTATATGCAGTTAGGATCAGGATATGCATATATTACCCCACCTACTTTCAATATGGCTGACTGGCCAATATTTGAACAGGCACTTGGAGATTATCCCAAATAAACACAAAGACAAAGAAGGTATATTGGCTTTCTCAGCTATATCAAAGTGATCTTGCCTAAACTACTACCATGAGATATTCCATGTAGATTTATTTTGTACAAATCTATGCTATTATTACAATCTGAATTTCTGTAACTAGACATGTCCCAATTAAGAATAGTAAACTAAGTTGACTCAAAGGTAAATGTCTTACCAGCAATTGGTGGCCCAAGGCTATTTCCAAGTCCAGCAAAGAACATTAAGATTCCATAGGCATGGGCTAATTTTTCAATTCCCACAGTCTTTGTTGTCACATACGGGAAGATGGACCAATTCCCAGTAAGAAACCCTATGATCCCAGAAAGCATTGCCAATGTGACATAACTTTTAGCAAATGGAATTGCACACAAAGCTAGGCTCATCATTATTAAGGTAGCTACATAAAGATATAAGGTGTTAATCCACTTGAAGTCCGCCAGTATCCCCAAAAGGAGTTTTCCAACTGCTGTCATAATGCCCATAATGGAAATAAGAGGCATAATAAATTCTTCTTCTTTCACATTTGAACTTCTTGCTACATCTTCCATAAGTAATGCAGGTGGAAACCCTCCGATGTCAAAAAGTAAGATAGCAATGAAAAGTGCTGAAAATACTTTGTTTTTAAAAAGAGACACAGTTTCACCACAGTAGATTTTATATAACTGCCACTTCCTCTTAGCAAAGAGTTTGCAAAAATAAGTCTGTTCTGCAACTTTCTTTTTGTAGGTTTCAGGCTCTTTTGTGTGTACCATCGATGTAGGGTTTTTATGAAATAGATTCTCTTGCTTCCAGTCACCACTGGCCAAAGCACTCTTGCATTTTTCTTCACTAATGTAGTTCCTGTCAAGAATGTTTATGTTTTCTTCCAGGTTCTTTTGTTTTTCATTGTAAATGGAGTATCTATCTGGTAGACTTTCTGTAGCTGTTTTTGCAGATAAAGGACAGCCAGAGGCTGGGAGGGGTCTCATTAGACTGCCACAGGCTAATATATTTAAAGCTAAAGCACCCACGATCAGTAGGCATCCATCTAGTCCATAGATCTCAGTCAATATTCTCTGCAAAGCAGCATAAATAAAAAGACCAACACTTGAACCTAAAAGGGAAATGGAAACGGTTTAGTCTTAATCCCAAATAATTTGGGTCTGTAGAACAAGCTTTAGTAATATCACAATTCAATTTATTATATACACTTGCATTCCTATATGATTTCATATTAAATCACAAGAACATTAAAGTTAACAACAATAACAATGGTCATAGTAGAGAACACTCATTTTAAAAGTTAACATTTATACTTCAGAGACTGGTATGCACATTCACTGCATGATCTTGTCTTTTTACTTTTAGTGATCCTATAGAGTAGGCCCTATTATCATTCCCACTCTATAAATGATGGGCTGGGAGGGGTATGATTCAAGTGGTGGAGTATCAGCCCAGTATGCACTAGGCTCTGAGTTCAAACTCCAGCACTGCCTCAGAAAAGTTTTGCTATAAATGAAGTGTGAAGCCTAAAAAGCTTGAGGAATTTGCCATCGATCACAAAGCTGTAAATAACCTAAGTAGAGTTCACAGTCAGTCTGACTCCATGAGCACATATTCCTAGCAAAAATCATTATATAATGATAAGTGCATATACACACATACATACACACATTCATTGCCTTTTGTAAAGCAAATTCTCGTATTTTCTTTTGAAATGAAAAATAGTTTAGTCTTAGAATATTTATAATGGCTCGATAGTTCAAACCATTGCTAAGTCAGTAGAATGATTCATATTTTTAATGCAGAAATATGATTATGAGAAGATAGAGCTATTTCAATTACAAATATGCTGGTTTGCATGCCACGCAACACAGCAATAACGCCTCCCTTCAGCCCTGATCACATAAAACACGATGGAATATCAACTTATGTCACTCATTTAATTTACACTGTCCTTGTCTGGTTCTGATTTCAATTTTTTAAAAATTGAATATTTTAAAATTTAAATATCATTGGGAAATGCTATGTGAAAAGTCAGGAAAAAAAGCAGATTAGTTTAAAAGACTAAATTTTCATACAGAGAAGTCCAGGACCTGATAGATTCTCTGCTGAATTCTATCAGACCTTTAAAGGAGAACTGATACCAACCCTCCTTAAACTGTTCCACAAAAAAGAAAGGGAAGGAAAACTGCCAAACACATTTTATGAAGCCAGTATTACACTTATCCCAAAACCAGGCAAAGACACCTCCAAAAAGGAGAACTGTAGGCCAATCTCCTTAATGAACATTGATGCAAAAATCCTCAACAAAATAATGGCAAACCGAACTCAACAACACATCAAAAAGATTATTCACCACGACCAAGTAGGCTTCAATCCAGGGATGCAGGGGTGGTTCAACATACGAAAATCAATAAATGTAATAAACCACATTAACAGAAGCAAAGACAAAAACCACTTCATCATCTCAATAGATGCAGAAAAAGCATTTGATAACATCCAACACCATTTCATGATAAAAGCTCTAAGAAAACTAGGAATAGAAGGAAAGTACCTCAACATTATAAAAGCTATATATGACAAACCTACAACCAGCATTATACTTAATAGAGAAAAACTGAAACCATTCCCTCTAAAATCAGGAACCAGACAAGGATGCCCACTATCTGCACTTCTATTCAACATAGTGCTGGAATTCCTAGCCAGACCAATTAGGCAAGAAGAAGGAATAAAAGGAATACAAATAGGTAAAGAAACTGTCAAAATATCCCTATTTGCAGATGATATGATCCTATACCTTAAAGACCCAAAACACTCTACTCAAAAGCTCCTAGACATCATCAATAGCTACAGCAAGGTAGCAGGATATAAAGTCAACATAGAAAAATCATTAGCATTTCTATAAACTAATAATGAACAAACTGAAAAATAATGTATGAAAACAATTCCATTTACAATAGCCTCAAAAAAAAATCAAATACCTAGGTGTAAACCTAACAAAAGATGTGAAAGACCTCTACAAGGAAAACTATAAACTTCTGAAGAAAGAGATTGAGGAAGACTATAGAAAGTAGAGAGATCTCCCATGCTCATGGATTGGTAGAATCAACATAGTAAAAATGTCGATACTCAGTCAAAAGAACAATGCAGGAGGTATCACAATACCTGACTTCAAACTATATTACAAAGCAATAACAATAAAAACAGCATGGTACTGGCACAAAAACAGACATGAAGACCAGTGGAACAGAATAGAGGACCCAGATATGAAGCCACACAACTATAACCAACTTGTCTTTGACAAAGGAGCTAAAAATATACAATGGAGAAATAGCAGCCTCTTCAACAAAAACTGCTGGGAAAACTGGTTAGCAGTCTGCAAAAAACTGAAACTAGATCCATGTATATCACCCTATACCAAGATTAACTCAAAATGGATCAAGGATCTTAATATCAGACCACAAACTCTAAAGTTGATACAGGAAAGAGTAGAAAATACTCTGGAGTTACTAGGTATAGATAAGAACTTTCTCAACAAAACCCCAGCAGCACAGCAACTAAGAAATAGCATAGATAAATGGGACCTCATAAAGCTAAAAAGCTTCTGTTCATCAAAAGAAATGGTCTCTAAACTGAAGAGAACACCCACAGAGTGGGAGAAAATATTTGCCAACTATATATCAGACAAAGGACTGATAACCAGAATATATAGGGAACTTAAAAAACTAAATTCTCCCAAAACTAATGAACCAATAAAGAAATGGGCACGTGAACTAAACAGAACTTTCTCAAAAGAAGAAATTCAAATGGCCAGAAAACACATGAAAAAACACTCACCATCCCTAGCAATACAGGAAATGCAAATTAAAACCACGCTAAGATTCCACTTCACCCCTGTTAGAATAGCCATCATCAGCAACACCACCAACAACAGGTGTTGGCGAGGATGCGTGGAAAAAGGAACCCTCTTACACTGTTGGTGGGAATATAGACTAGTACAACCACTCTGGAAAAAAATTTGGAGGCTACTTAAAAAGCTAGACATCGATCTACCATTTGATCCAGCAATACCACTCTTGGTGATATACCCAAAAGACTGTTACTCCAGAGGCACCTGCACACCCATGTTTATTGCAGCATTATTCACAATAGTCAAGTTATGGAAACAGCCAAGATGCCCCACCATCGACCAATGGATTAAGAAAATGTGGTATCTATACACAATGGAATTTTATGCAGCCATGAAGAAGAACAAAATGTTATCATTCGCTGGTAAATGGATGGAATTGGAGAACATCATTCTGAGTGAGGTTAGCCTGGCCCAAAAGACCAAAAATCATATGTTCTCCCTCATATGTGGACATTAGATGAAGGGTAAATACACCAAGGGGATTAAACTTTTGAGCACATGATAAAAGCGAGAGCACACAAGGGAGGGGTGAGGATAGGTAAGACACCTAAAAAATTAGCTAGCATTTGTTGCCCTTAACACAGAGAAACTAAAGCAGATACCTTAAAAGCAACTGAGGCCAATAGGAAAAGGGGAACAGGTACTAGAGAAAAGGTGAGATCAAAAAGAATTAACCTAGAAGGTAACACCCACGCACAGGAAATCAATGTGAGTCAATGCCCTGTATAGGTATCCTTATCTCAACCAGCAAAAACCCTTGTTCCTTCCTATTATGGCTTATACTCTCTCTATAACAAAATTAGAAATAAGGGCAAAATAGTTTCTGCTGGGTATTGAGGGGGTGGGGGGGAGAGAGAGGGGGTGGAGTGGGTGGTAAGGGAGGGAGTGGGGGCAGGGGGGAGAAATGACCCAAGCCTTGTATGCACATATGAATAATAAAAGAAAAAAAAAAGACTAAATTTTCATATACATAACATGGTTGCTATGAAAACCCATCTCATCAAAAATTCTCACAAATAACCAAATGGTTCTGAGCCTTAGAGTTACAGGAAAACATTCTTCTTGAGGACCTCAGTTGTCCTTTCTTAATATTTTTCAAATTAACTCCTTCAGTCTCAAAGGGGCAAAAACTGTTATGAAACTGTTAATGAATGTCTCATGTTACTATATTGGCAGTTAAAACAGTACCTTTGGGTGGTTTCTAAGCTGCTGACTATTGAGAAGTAATGTAGACAAATGTACTATTTCCTCATCTTTGTAAAAGTGGCACATGCTTTAAATGTTAACAACAGAGAATTGAATACAGCAGGACAACTTCATGGACTGCTCTGCTGCATAAGCATCCTTTAGTTGTTAATTTGTAATTTTTATTTAACACGATGTCTTTGTACAGACTTTAACAAGGTGCCACACCATTTGACACTTAAACGTGCTCTTGACATGTTGATCTTAAGCTGAGAAAATAAATAATTTCCCATTGTTCACCAACCAAGCTTATCTGTCCAAATCATGAAATGTAAGAGAAACTATCACATCGATCCAACATATAATTACTGAAACACCTACAATATGCTAACTGTATGACAGAGTAGAAAAAGTCAAATGACACATCCTGACCTACAGCTCATGATGTAGGCTTAGGAAAATGCAGGAATTCTTTCAAGAAAACAAAGAGTAAATGCTCTCTCCTCTAGGCAGAGTGAGAATCAAGAGCCAGTCTCGCAGCATACAATTTCCAGCATCTTTGGTACAAATTTAGACATAAGGGAAACCAAGGTTACAGTTCAATGGCTACACTTCTACAGCCTTTGCCATGTGCCTTACACATATACAAGGGCCCATATTACTATCCCCATTTTATAGTTCAGAAAAACTGAGGCACAAAACATTACTTTGCCCGGCACAAGGCAGCTAGTGAGTAACAGAAGCAGGATTCAAAACCAGGCAGTCTGGCTCCGGGATCTGTCTGGTAAAACTAAGTTTTTTTTTACTCCAAAAGAAAATATAGTACAGGCTGGACCTTTTGTCCTTTAACTTGCCATTGCTTTTCTCACACTCCCTCCTACACTTGTGGGAGAGCCTGACAGGTGCTTTACACTACATTCCAAGTGCTCTGGATTCCCCCATCTTCCATTTTTGTATTCCTTCTCTCTTTTCTTTTTTTTCTCTTTCTCCTTCCTTCCTTCCTTTCTTTCTGGTACTAGTGTTGAACTCAGGGTCTTGTGCTTGCTAGGCAAGTGCTCTACCACTTGAGCAATGCCTCCAGCCCTTTTTGCTTTAGGTTACTTTTCAGACAGGGTCTCACTTTTATCTGGAGCCAGCCTCAGACTTTAAACTTTGTTTAGAAGGCTGAATAGTGATAATACTATAATTACTGTAAAAATGTACCTGTTGAAATCAGGCCAAGTGCAAGGCCTCTGCGACTGTCAAAATACTGGCACGTAATGGTCACTGTTGCAGTATATAATAAACCACATCCGAGACCTAAGCATAAATTCAGAGAGATGCATTATTTTGCTGCAAAAGAAAAGAGAATAATCAAGTATCTCCGACAGGATGTTCTGCACTAGCTGGGTAAACATCAGAGTACAGCCCCTAAACCCTTTCCATGTTAGTTGTGTGGTCCCAAATGGGCACACTGGGCAGTCAAGTTTTCACCCTACACCTATGTTAAGATCAGGATCAAGTCAAAAAGTAACACAATTTCTAAAACAAAAATGAATAATTCAAGTGTAATTTAAGACAGTATGGATATTGAGAAAATGATTAAACTAAACATCAAATAGCAAAATTTAACTAAATTTACTCACAGGATATCTATCTCTCTTTCAAGTCCTTCTACTAACTCACTGCTTCTCCCTCACGTTTTCTAAACAGTTTTATTTTTTAAGATTGGGTCTCACTATGTAGCCCATGCTGGCCTTGAACATATGATCTTCCTGCCTCAGATTCCCCCATGCCGGGATTATAGGTATACGCAAGCCACCACAACCAGCTTCTAAACAACTTTTAAACAATCCCCTTTATCACCCCAAGTTATTCTGCTAGAGCTTATTTTACACACCCACGTCTGCAAAACAAAAGTCTTGAACAGGACCTTGGGGTTCTCCATCATCCCATCATGGGATGCATGCTAATGCATTTCCTTTAGTCTAAAGAACCTTTTTTTTTTTTTGGAGGAGAGGAAGGGAGGGAGGAAGCAAATTCAACAGGCTATCAATAATGTCAGCTTGTTTTTCACAGAATTCTCCTTTTGTCTCTAATGCATTTACTTTTTGCCTTTCTTTGGTGATATTACCTGTTTTTGAAGATTGCTCTAAAACAACACATACTCCATAGTCTAAAAACTGAATTTTAACCATGGCACATTGGGTGAATTATATGGTTTTCAGTACTAACTACATAGACTCTCAGTAAAGAGTGTCTGGGCTTAACAAATGTACTAAGCAAACATTTTATGAAACCAGCACTTAAGCTGAGGCAGGATTCAGTTATCATCCATGATTATATAAAAATTTCTTAAAGATATGAGATAGATTAAAATAATTAAACAAATAAAACTTTTAAATAAATTTCGTATAGTTTAAGGAAAAAATGCTCACTCATTAACTGATACATGAGTTGGATTAATTTATACAGTTTTATTACTACATTTAGGACACTTCAAGAAGTGAAATAATACATATCTGAAAATCAAATATGTGAAGCCAAAAAGTGTCACACTTATCTGAGATATTTCTGAAAACCTTTAGAGAGGGATAGATTTTCTTTTCTGTGATTTGGTTGCTGGGCTCTGTCAAATGTTAGGCATTGGAGACATGAAAAAATAAGAGACAGAGAGAGACAGAGACAGAGAGATTGAGAGATTTCAAATTACTAAAAGCCAAAGCCAAAAAAAGTTGTGACGGCAACTTATCTAACCTTGCACTAAAAAGAATTTTTTAAAAAATGATTTTGAGTTGATGGTTCTATATAAAAGTATCTCCTTTTTTTTTAAATGCAGAAATTGAAAATGTGTTTCTTTAAATTTTTCAAAAAAAGCAGAAAGTGGCCTGATAGTTGTCCATCTCTGTATCTCGATGACCTTAAACCAGCAGTTATTAACAAAAGGTCTGTAGAACCCAACAGTCTCATGGAGTCCCTGAAGCCAAAGCAATTTCCACAAAAACGTTTTCTGCTTTTTTTTGAAAACAAACAAACAAACAATGCTCATATTTATGTTGTCACAAAAGAGATGGTGACTAAAATTGCAAAAGCCTTAGCACAAACCAAAATATTTGTACCAAACTTTATACCTTATAGGCTTTACCACACATTCACAGTAAAAACAAACAAATTCATTTTAAATATTTCATCTGAATTAGAAGAAACTGCTGCAAAGAAAAGCACTTAAGCAATTATTTAAGAAGTGGTTAGCTAAAAGAGCCACTTTTTTTTTTCATATAACCCTGTTGGAATTTTTTAGTTCGTTTGTTTGAAAGAATTCTGATAGATAAATTGAGATTATTGGCAAATATTTCATTGAAAATGAACTAATATGGGAAACAACTGACAGCAATTGTCACAAATGATAAATTTCCAGCAGAAAAAAAAATAGAATTTTAGAAAAGATATCTACCAACACAAATCTGGCAATTCCTAATGCGTACAGAATTTCTAATTAGCTAGTTGACAATATTAACCAAAGTGATTTTTGATGCTTTATTATGAAATGTGTTAACATTTTAAAGTTTTTCCATTACTTAAAACAAGTATTTTTCAAATGTATAACTCGTGTTACAAAATCAGGTTTGAAAGAATATCTACTCAAAGGGTAGAATAAACAAACAGATTTAATATAACAAAGTATGAAAAGTATATTGATGTTGTGTTACATTCTACATTACAACTACTCTTTAGGAAACTATCCCTTACCAAGTTCTGGCTCAGGATCAAAGAAAAATATCTACCTGAAAAAGCTATTAAAAACTCCTCCCTTTTCCAAATGCATTTGTGTGTGATTTTCTCCATAGACTTCAACCAAAAAACACATTGCAATGGATTGAGTACAGATGCACATACGAGAACTTCTGTCTTCTCTGAAGCCGGACATTTTTTATGTATGAAGCAAATATGAAAACAATAGCACTCTTCTTGGAGCTGGGAATTTAGCTGTAGTGGTAGAGCATTTGCTTAGGAGTGCAAGGCCCTAGGTTCAATCCTCAGCACCAAAAAATAAAAACCTAAAAAATAAATAAATAAATAAAACTCATAACAGCAAAAACATTCTTGTCACTAAATTTTGTTTTGATTTGGAAAACAGAATTATTTTCCCATAATATAAGTGTTTTTGATGTTAACACTACTGGGTTCATTATCTTTAAATGAATTCCTAAAATGAATGAGTAGACAATTTTTATTTTATCTTTTAGAATACATTACAATTTAATAGAATAAAGAAAAATATAATCCAGATAATCAAAAGCGCCTTTGGGCCCTAAAAAAAGAAAGCAAAGGGCCCCAAGACTAAAATGTTTCAAAATTACTGTGGGAAAGGCATATAAGATGGCTTTTGCCAAGGTGAATATATAAAAAATGGCAATTATTCATTTGCCATAAACAAAGAGAAACAGACTGTCTGTGATCGTAGCTTTTTTCCCTCTCCCTTGCTTCAAATGGATTATATGGATATAGCTATCTTAAACAACAAAAATACCTCTTTTCTAAAACAGAGAATAGGAAGGTAAAACAAGTCCTGTCTGGGGGAGGTACCAGCAGGAGGGGGAAGGATCTAAGGAAAGGGTAGAGGAGGGTGAATATGGTAGAATTCATACATATGACCTACCTATGTATGAAAATGGAAAAATGAGACACGCTGAAACTATTCTAGGAATGGGGGAAGAAGGGATAAAAGAAAATGATTGAGGGAGTGAATTCAACTATGATATATTGTAGAACTTTTGTAAATGTCACAATGTACCCCCAGTACAACAATAATATAATAAAAAACAAACAAAAGACCCTAAATAAATAAGAAAATGAAGGAAGAGAAAATTAGATTTTACCAAAAAAGCAAAAGGGGAATGTTAAGAAAACCTTAATCAACTAGCTAAGAAATAATATATTCTGAAGAAACAAGAATATAAGGAATTGATTTGGAATTGTGGCTTTGCAGAAAAACAAAAAGAAATTATTAGAAAGACACTTCAGAAACCAATTAAGTGTTCATTTCCTGTTCACCCCACCTTCTTTCCACATCATTCTGTCTCACACTGCATTGTTTCTCCTGATTTAGTAAAGTTACTGAGAAGAGGAGAGCCTGAGTGGCCAGGTTTAAATATGCAGCTTGCATTTGCTTGAAAACTGCAGGCTGCCATTTCACCTGAGCTACAAAACCTACAGAAGATATGTTTTCAAAATAATATTTCTGAAAGATCAGTTAAATGGAAAAACAGAACTATGCCAATTAAGTGTTTTAGTATTATTTTGATATGTTAGACTATAATTAAACATTCACTATAGGTTTAACTTCTTTTTCTCTATTCTTTAATCTGTTATACAAATATTTCTGATTCAATAGCACCTCTTTGATAGCCAGAAACTGCTGCTATAATCTTGAACTAAGAAAGGAATTTAAAGTCAAGAATATTAATGTACCCCTGTAATCCTAGTGGTTGGGAGGCAAAAGCAGGAGGATCACAAGTTAAAAAGTCCAGCCTGGGTGCAGAAGAAGAAAGGAGAGAGGGAGGGAGCCAGCAAGGGAAGGAGAGAAAAAGGGAGAGGAGGAAAGGAGGAAGGAAGGAGGGGGACAGAAAGGAATTTAGGATAAAAGGAAGAAATATGCATTATTAAACACCTCTGTCAGCCTCTTATATATATTATCTCACAAGAAGCCATAATATCTCTGATATCATATGATTCCATTTTATAAAAAATAAAACTGGAAGCTCAAAGAGACTGAACAATCTTCCAAAGTCATAATTGGAATAATTTTCTAATTAATGATTATACTAGCTAACATTCATTGTATTGCGTCATTGATCACTATAAAACTCTATGAGACAGATGTTTTGATTTTGCTTAGTTTACAAATAAGAAAGCAAAAGTTAGGAAAATTTTTTAAAGTCTTATAGCTAAAAAGTGAATAAGGTGAACCCACACGATCTGGTTCCAGAGCCTGCTTGTGAGTGCTGGCTCTTTCTCCACGCCATATGCCCATCTTACAAGGCCATCAGTTCTTTCCAGACACATGAAAGTCCTTAGAACAAGATTCTGCACAAAATTGGTGCTCAATGAATGTCACCATGAGACAGAATCTTTCTTGTTTTATCTAAAGAGTTCATACTAAGCAAAAAGATGAATTTTACCTATGTGATAATTTCCCACCACTGATATCTGAGTAGTACTAAGGCATGTAGTTCTAAAATCACCAAAAATAATTACAAAATGTAAAAGAGGTCAAGTTCAAGTGTCAGATTGAATGTATCCATTCCCCAGCATCCTAGCTTCGTTTAGTAATTTCACTTCTCTGAGCCTCACTTTCCCTTCCTGTAAGTGGGTTCTTATGAAGATTAAAGGAGATCAATAAGAGCTTGATGAATATTAACTGCTATCATTTCCATTTTTCATTATTGGGAAAATATTTCCAAGTAAAAGTGAAGAATATTGGTAGTCAATAAAATTTGGTTCTTTCAGACACTATGATGAAACTTTTGGAAGCTGAAGGTCATCTTTTTAAAACTTGATACCAACGGCTCCAAGGAATTCAAGCTTCAATGATTAATGCAATTAATTCATCATAGAGACATTCCCCACATTGTTAGTGCTCCTAGGCCCTGACATTTCTACTCTTCCGCTTTTCCCCCTCTCACAAGGAAGACTACCTCCATTCATCCCCACCGTGCAGTTTTCTTCAATCTCATGCCTTATTTTCTTTCCTTTTTTTTTTTCATTTTTATTAGGACATATTCATTGTACAGGGGATAGTCATTGTGACAATTCCAAGTAGGCTTACATTTGCATTTGATTAGATCCCCCCCACCATCTTCCCCTCAACCCCCTCCCTGCCTCACTTAAAACAGTTGCAAGGGGTTTCACTGTTCTATTTCATATATGTATATGAAGTCAATCAGCCATATTCTCTCACCTTTATCACCTACATCCACCCTCTCCCCTTCTACAAGTAACACACATACACACACACACACACACACACACACACACACACACACACACACACACACTGTACCTATTTTACAGTCCTGTCTTTCGTTATTAATTCTAAAGTCAATGTTCAAAGGGGTTTCTTGATGTATCCCAGCTGTGAGTATACTTTACTTTGGTCAGTTCAACCTCTTCTGTTACTCTCCCTTACCCCTTCCTCCCACTCCCCATTATTCAGTAGCTTCAGTACACATTGTTATATGCTCTACCTGCACAGATGTAATGTATTTCGGTATTGTTAACTCTCTGTCATTCTCTTTTCCTTTCCCTCCTCCCCAAATTCATACAGTAGTTCCACTGTTACAAACATGTTCTATGTGTAAGTTTGTATACGGTAATATTTGTTTTTGTGTAGGAAAACATGCAGCCTTTGTCTTTCTGAACCTGGCTTGCTTCACTTGACATAATGTCCTCCAATTGCATCCATTTGCCTTCAAACCACATGGTGTCATTCTTCCTTATGGCTGAATATAAAATTATATATATCTCCATTCATCAGTTATAGGACATCTGAGTTGTAGGGCTTGGCTATTGTGAACAGTGCTGCTATACACAGCAATGTGCAAGTGTCACTACTGTATCCTGGATCATATGGCAGTTCTGTTTTTAGTTTTTAAGGTATCTCCATACTGTTTTCCATAGAGGTTGTACTAATTTGATTCCCATCAACAGTGTATAAGGTGTTTCACTGCATCCATGCCAGCATTTGGTGTTGATTTATCATGACTTATCTTTAACAATAACAAGTGCTTTAAAAATCTACTCTTATTCATACTCATAATTCCTCCTGCCTCAGCCCCCTAAGTGCTAAGACTACACAGATTCACACCATGTCAGGTTAAATATCCACTTCTTACTTCTGCTTTAGCTTCTGATTGGGTCCTGGCAACAGATATTATGGAACACAAATTCCTGTTTGTGAACACAAATGGCTCAACAGGGCCCTGCTTGGCTGCACAGTAGGAAAGGATCACTTTTTTTTTTTTCAATACTAGGGACTAAACTCAAGGCTTTGTGTTTTTTTAGGCAAGTGCTCTACCACTTGAGCCATATCCCCAGTCTGGGCCATTTTCTAAATCAGTAAGAAGTGACAGGTGTCAAGGACATCTAGGTTTTATGCTCCTCTTCTTTCACTTTTCCCTTTTTGTGCTATGTAGAGACAAATGCTGAGATGAAAAACCTTCCTGTCCCTTGAAAGAGACATAAAGTTGTAGATTGTTAAAATGTGCTTATCTTTCAAACATTTGGATTCAGATAAAGACAATTTACTAAAGCAACAATTTTTGGAATGTGGTCATTAAAAGAAAATTATTAGTAAACATTTTCACTCCTCATATTAACAAAATAATAAACGACATTGGTGAACTGATGTGTAACTCTTCAAGTTAGAAAAGTCACGGTGATGAGGTTCCTTACCTACAACAATGCCATAGGAAAAAAACAGGAAGTAGAGATTGGGGGCCAGGCTGCTCAACATCAGGCCTCCAGCCACCAAAAAGCCACTGAATATTGTGACCGGTCTTGCTCCAAAAGATGAGACACAGGCACTGCAGACAGGACCTAAAAAAAAACATTGAAACCTGCTCTTATTTAACAGTAACCCCTTCCCACAATCGCATCATACATCTAGCATAATTTCAAAACAATTTTTCCACCATAAGCTACAACAAAATAAACTGACAATACCGAGTACTTACTAGGTGCTAGACACCGTGCAAAGTACTTCACATACACAATATCATCTCATTTAAATCTTACTGCATCCCTGGAAGGTAGACATTATTGTTATAATTTTTTGATGTGGAAGTTGAGGAATGATAAGATCACATAGTTAAGAAATGAGGGTTCTGGAGTCAGACTGTTCAAATTCTAAGCTTTACTGCTGCTAGATGTTTGACCTCCCTCAGGGAACTGATTATTTGATCCCTCTGTGCTTTCTTCATCTGAAAACTGAGGTAATAACAGTAGCTACTTCATAGTGTTCCTTTACACTTTTGACACTCAGGCAAAAGTGATCATTACCTGGATTTGTTCTATGCATAAGAGGACAATTGTTGGTGTAACAGGATTTAAGTGATGGTGAAATTTTTTCACACTAGCACTGTGCCTAGAAAGTATCCAGAATTATGGAACTCAGCATATTAGAGATAAAAGGATATTAGATTTATTCAACCCAACAGTCTCATTTCACGTGGAAGGAAAGTGAAGTTCCATTGGTACCAGTGGGAGGGGGAGGGCATAAAGAAAGGGTTCAGGAGGGCAAATATGGTGGAAGCATCATGTATTCATGTATGAAATGAGACCTGTTAAAACTATTCTAAGAAGGGGAGGAGAGGGACAAAAGAGAAAGATAGAGGGGGGTGAATTTAACCAAGACATATTGTAAGCACTTTGGTAAATGTTAGAATGTACTCCCAATACAACTATAATACACTAATAAAGAAGAAAAGAAAATGAAGTTCCAAGAAGTTTTCAAATCAGTGGTAGAAGAAAGACCCAGGATTTGGAATCAAAGAGAAAGATACCCTTTTTTTTTTTTTTTTTGAAGATTAGCAAAGGTGGATTTAATAAAGCAGGACAAAGCAGGGAGAAAGGAACATAACCTGATAGGCAGTGTGGGGAGCAGAGAAGCTCCAAGAGAAGTATACTTTCATTGATTTGACTACAACATTTCAAGGTACAAATGATGACCTCCAATTTTCAAATAAAACATACCTGTTAAAGATAGACAATAGCAATAGCAAGTATTATTTAACAAGTATATGGAGGGAGCAGAGTTCTCTTACATTGCTGGCCTTATTTACTAAAGCTAAATAGCACACTGTAAAGCCTAGAAGTTTTGATTTTATGTATATACTTACTAGAAATATGACACCAAAAGTCATCTACATAAATGTCCATGGTAGAACTATTGTAAATAAAACCAAGATACCTAGTTGTTCGTCAGCCGTAGAATATATGAGTAAAGTCATGTCTATTTGTACAATGGACAATGAAAATGATCTACAACCACCTGTAACAATAAGAATGTCATCTCACAAACATATATGTTGAGCAAAACACACAAAAAAGTACAAACCATGTAATTCCAATTATTAAAAAAAATACAAAAACAGGCAAAATTAACCTAAAGTTTTAAGTCAGATTATGTTTTCCTTGTAAGGGTCTTGAGGTGAGTGATTGCATGGGTGTGTTCAGTTTGTGAAAATTCATCTAGCTCCACTGTGATGGCACCCTTCTGTGTATATCTTTCACTTCTTTTTTAAGCAACCTCAAACTGAAAAATGATAAGACTGTGAATGAATGATCCATTCACACTCTCAGTAGTACATGGCAGAGACAGGAGTCAGTGACCCCATTCTTACAATACCAGACACTCCTTTAAGCACAATGTAAAACCAGATGATAACCACCGAGATTATGACCACATAGCTCCTACTGCCTATGGCTCTCCTACATTCTTCCCTAGCCAGGAGCTGGCTTCTGCCATTTTCAGACCCTCTTATGTGAGCCAGCACAGAAAAGCAGACTGATAGACAGAGGGGAATATACTAGAGGAGTGTTTTTAATGGAAAAATCCATTTGAAAAACTAAACTTACTCAATAGTTGAGCTGTCTGTATACTCAATGAGAAATACTTAGATACTTCAAAAATAGAAATGGTAGAAGGGTCAAATTTCATAAATGGATTTCTGACAGCATGAAGGCATGACCCTGCTCTGCTTTTTTATCTAATTGCATTGACACTGACCATTAGTGTTTATAAATTTAACAGGGGCACAAAGATTATTATTACTATCATGCTTGACAAGTTTTATGCTGCATCTTCAAAGACTTAAAATATATGTTCCTTGATGCATGTCAGCAAAGAAACAAAGAATTGGGGTTTCTGAAGGTAATGAGGAAGGGTGATGATTTTGATAGTATATACAACCAAACTAGTGTTTTTAAAAAATATATATATGATATATTATCAATTATGTGATAAATTTTTAAATCATTTTTGCCTAACACGATTCTTTCCAAAAATTAAGCTTTAAAAAGAACTGAGCAAAAGTTCTTTGACATGAAAATGGTAAATTGGAAGTTACTGTTTTTTATTTCTGTATTTTCACACTGTTGTCTCCTGTTTACTTAGAGAAAAAAAATCTTTTGTGTGTGTGTGTGTTGGGTTTTTTTTTTTTATTCATATGTGCATACAATGCTTGGGTCATTTCTCCCCCCTGCCCCCACCCCCTCCCTTACCATCCACCCACCACCTCCCCTTCCCCCCCACCCCCGGCAGAAACTATTTTGCCCTTATCTCTAATTTTGTTGAAGAGAGAGTATAAGCAATAATAGGAACGAACAAGAGTTTTTGCTAGTTGAGATAAGGATAGCTATACAGGGAGTCGAATCACATTAATTTCCTGTGCATGTGTGTTACATTCTAGGTTAATTCTTTTTGATCTAAACTTTTCTGTAGTTCCTGGTCCCCTTCTCCTATTGGCCTCAGTTGCTTTTAAGATATCTGCTTTAATTTCTCTGTGTTGAGGGCAACAAACGCTAGCTAATTTTTTAGGTATCTTACCTATCCTCATATCTCTCTTGTGATCAAAGTTCAACCCCCTTGTTATGTTTGCCCTTGATCTAATGTCCGCATGTGAGGGAGAACATACAATTTTTGGTCTTTTGGGCCAGGCTAACCTCACTCAGAATGATGACATTTCGTTCTTCTTCATGGCTGCATAAAATTCCATTGTGTACAAATACCACATTTTCTTAATCCATTCGTCAGTAGTGGGGCATCTTGGCTGTTTCCATAACTTGGCTATTGTGAATAGTGCCGCAATAAACATGGGTGTGCAGGTGCCTCTGGAGTAACCTGTGTCACATTCTTTTGGGTATATCCCCAAGAGTGGTATTGCTGGATCAAATGGTAGATCAATGTCTAGCTTTTTAAGTAGCCTCCAAATTTTTTTCCAGCGTGATTGTACTAGTTTACATTCCCACCAACAGTGTAAGAGGGTTCCTTTTTCCCTGCATCCTCGCCAACACCTGTTGTTGATGGTGTTGCTGGTGATGGCTATTCTAACAGGGGTGAGGTGGAATCTTAGTGTGGTTTTAATTTGCATTTCCTTTATTGCTAAAGATGGTAAGCATTTGAGAAAAAAAAAATCTTGATGCCAGTAATTAAAAGACAAAGAATTTTAGAGCTGAAAGAGGCCTTGAAATGGTCCAAATGTTTCATTTTTAAAATGATCAAGCTGGAGCTCAGAAAGATAAAGTGATTTTTGACCAAGCATCCGTAGCAGTCAATGACTGGTCTAAGGCCAAGGTCAGCCCAGTTTTCTTCCCAGTTGAAAAGTATTTCAATCAGTATCTTACTTCTTTTCCCAGAAATCAAGATACAAGAGAAAAACACCAGAGTACCTTTGTGAATATCTTACAGATTAAGTACTTTCACATCACATGAGAACATAACATTTTTGATCACTTAGAGCCAGAGTATGTATCGATTCTGTCTATGTACATTTCAGCCACAACAGCCTCATTAAGAACAGAGCAAAGTAAAACTGGAAGTGACCATCAAGTCACATCTGCAAGACAGGACACATTTATGTATTTAACTCTGCTATAATACAAGGTCTCCAAGATAACAATCATGTATGGCTCCTCAGAGCAGGACAAGTTTCAAGAGACAAATTAAATCAAAGGACTATTCTCAAGCAAGACTTCTTATGGTGGCCAAGTCTTTCACTTAGCAGAAAAGACCTTTGGAGCAAAAGTTAAATAATCCACAATATGAGTCAGTGGGCCAGGAAACTTTTAAGAAAAATAAACAAGATTTGCTAATTTTTTACCTTGAGATGTTTTCTAATGCAACAACCATCTACGATCACTCCTACTTTGTTAGAGAAGAAAGGATCTTTCAATAAGCAAATAGTAATAAGAATTTAATTTCAAAATAAAATACAAGAACCTCATACACACACACAACTATGATGATCTTAATGTTTATTTTGGCCTCACTGTAAGTTTTTCTTGAACTCACAGCTGTCTGTGTATCAATGTAAGAGCAATTTTTAATATCATTGGTATTGGTCTTTGAGAACCACTATTACTAAAACCACCTTGCATATGGGGGATTAATCTCAACTGCTGGATGAACTGAGATTACCTAACAGAGACAGCTGCATGGGTGCTGAGAGGTGAACAGCTCCATCCTCTCTTGGTACTATGTGGGCTCTTGAAAGATAATCTACCCTCACTCATAGCAGCATGGCCACATTTTTGGCACAATGCTGACACATGGCCTCAGAATAGGGAAAAATTATATACTGGGGGAAACAAAACTCTTTAAACCAAAATGAAGACTGAAGAAAGAAAGATAGGACTTTGAGAATTGTAACCTCTTAAATATAAAATAAAACAAAATAAAATATTTGGTTGTTAGTCTTCTGCAAGTCAGATTGATCAATATAGTTTTTCAGTCAGTGAGGGGAAGGAAAATGAAAACTCAAGTTCAAAAGTGTTTTGCAATGGTCACTGGTGAATTAGGAACGTGAAAAAAATGCTTC